GTAACTCATTCCTCATCCGGTCCACTCTAAGCAACCTAAATAAGCTGCAATGCCTCCAAAATCACATTTCCCGAGTTGTCCACGGCCCCCGCAACCTTCGCCCCGACTCCCTGTCCATCCTTTGTGCCCTTTATTGGCTGCCCATTTCAACCAGAATTACCTTCAAGATCGCTTACCTCTGCCTAAATTAGTCCTGAATACCTCCAAAACCAAGGTGCTATGCTTCTCACCAGGACTAAAGCAGGAAGTTATTTTTTTCCCAATTACATTCCTTTAATAATGATCAAATAGAGCAAGTCAAGATCTATAACTATCTTGGGGTCATCTTTGATTCAAAACTGAATTTTAAAGATCACATTGGTTATATTGCTAAAAAGATCAAATAAAAAAAATTGGTTTTCTGTATCGACACAAGCATTGCTTCCCCCCTGTTTCGTTTGGAATTGATAAAAGCTACCATACTGCCTCTACTTGGTTACTGTGACATCGTGTATAAATCAGCCCCCAGTACTGTACTGAAGAAGCTTGACCCAATTTATCACTCGGCCTTAAGATTTGCATTGAACTGCCCATATAGGACTCACCACTGCGATCTCTACATTGGGTCAAACTTAACATCTCTTAATGATCGACGGCTTGTGCATCAGATCTTATTTATTCACGATGTACTTACAAAACAATCAGCAGACTACCTGCTGGATCTCCTCCCTGTTTCGAAGAACAAATGTGACCTAAGGTCTTCGCTCATGCACCAGCTTCACATTCCTTATTGCTGTAAAAATACTGGAGGGAGGTCCTTTGCTGTTGATGCCCCCCAGGTCTGGAATGCTATCGCCAATAAAATGCAAATTGGATCACTACCTGTGAGATCTGCACTCAAAACCCGCTGCCACTGGCTATTAAGAGTGGCCTGAAATCAAATGCACCGCTCCGGATGTCCACTGCAAAGTATGATCTAGGGTTTTGATTGTAGTGTGCTGATCTTTAAAGGTGCATTGAAATGTTTGATACTCCTGCTGTTATGGAGTGACTCATGCTGCCAGCTGTGGCTGCAAAGTTTGGTTGTACATGTTATGTAGATATCGTTTATTGTTAAATTTGAATCACAGTTTCTATGATCACTGTTACATTGTTTTTATAGCTTTATTTTGGTGATTTCGAAAACGTATGGTTAAGCCATGTTTGTTTGTTGAAGTACGGAGTTAGCCTGAGAACTTTAATCCAAATTGTCTTATGGTTGTTATTGTTCGACTTGCATCCCACTGGGATTTTTGCACACAGCGCTGATATACGGTGCTTTTTTCTGGAAGATTTTTACTTGTTTTTCCTGGATGCTTCTGTTGCGCGTCGTCGCTTTAAGATGTTTCTTCGTTCATGTTTTTGTTTGTTGCGGTTGCACCCGAGTCAAGAGCCTCATGGCTCACAGGGCTACACCTAATAAATGAAAATGAAATGGAAGTGAAACGGCTACTGTCCCCGAGAAACCGTGTACCTAAATTCTCTGCTGATGCCTTACACTTCAATTAACCATTGAATCCTTCACAGTGCATCACAGAACCTCCTTGAAACTCCTAGGACAAGGACTGTAATTGCATCTCGTCGTTTCTCTGTCACAGCCCCCATCACCTGGAATGTCATCCCTATTCACATCCATAACAATCAATAATTTTCTCCGTTAAAAAAAATAATCTAAAAGCATATCTCTTCAGCTCGACATTTAACAGTCTCCCTGGAACCCCGTGACACGATCTGACACTGAGCTTGGCTCCGCGCCTTAGAATTGCCTCGTAAGCCTGCAACATTGCGCACGTTATGAGTTGTATTATTATTAATTGGCCACGTTTTTTTTTGTTTTCGTAACAAAACCTTAACTCTTCTTTGGTTCTTTCGGTAAAGTCACGTAGAATGAGAATAAAATAATAAATTGATAAAATAAAATAACACAATAATATTCTCACGACGTTTCGGCCACAACACAAGCGGCCTTCATCAGGTGAAGGGACGAGACTGTCTGGTAGGACATTTGTTGTGGCCGAAACGTCGTGAGAATATTATCGTGTTATTTTATTTTATCAATTTATTATTTTATTCTCATTCTACGTGGTGACTTTACCGAAAGAACCAAAGAAGATGAATCATTGCAGTCACGAAAGCTTTAAATCGAAAACCTTAACTAATTGGCTGCGCCAGGTGGCGGCAGATTTAACGACACATTTACGTAATCCAACCCAAAAACCTCCATTATAGCTCTGACACACATTTCCGCAATCCAACGGCCCAACAACAAAAGCAACCACACATTATTACAACCCCTCTACTGCGAACAAGCGTTCGTCACCGCCCCCCTGAGCCATTCCCTTTCCCGACCTGCGGAAAAAAACTACCCCGTCCCCCCTCTTCCGACGCTCGTGCCCAGCGTCCCCACGGCCCCTTCTCGCCCACCGTGCCTAGCCGCCACGTGCGCCTTGAAGGACCGACGACTGCACGAAGGCCTTGGCGTGCAGCTGGCACCGGTACAGGCCTCTCCCCGCCGTGCACCATCGCGTGGTACCTGGGCGACGTCGAGCACTTGAAGGCGGGCACTGCACAGCGCGCACGCGTATGGCCTCTCGTCGGAGTGCCTCCGCATGTGCACCCTGAGGTCGGACGGGCGCACGCACGCACGCACCCCACCCCTTGCCGCACTCGGCGCACCGGTGGGGCCTCTCGCCCGTGCGCGTCCTCGCGTGGCACCGCAGGCTCGAGGGGCAAGCGAAGCCGCGGCCGCACACCGGGCAAAACGTGTGACCTCTCCCGGCTGTGGCTCTTCGCGTGCGCGGCCAGGTCGCTGCTGCCGGCCTGTCGCGTCCGTCCGTCGCCCGCCGCTACTCCTGCGTTGGGGATTGGAAGGAGCGGTCTTTTAAAGTTTCACCCCCGTCCCGTTTTTTTTATTTTTTTTTATTTCGCCCGCGTGCTGCTTGTGAGCGAAACACGTACGTGTGTGTGCAGTATGTGTTGTTTTGTATCTGCGTCTCTGTGGTGTTTGTGTGCCTGTGTTCGTGTCTGTGTATGTTTTACGTGTGTATCGTTAAGTTTTTAACGTATTGTATGGTGTACCGTAGTGTGCGGTTCAGCCTAGTGTGGATTACTGTATAGCGTTCAGTCGCGTGGTGTACTTTAGCGTGTGGTGTACTGTAGCATGTGTGGTGTACTGTAGTGAGGTGTAGCGTGCATGCACTGTATAGTGTGGTGTGCTGTAATATGTGGTGCATTGTGGCTTGCATAGCGTAGTGTGTGGTGTACTACAATGTGTAAAGTGTCTACAGTGCCGTGCGGGTGGTGTGCGGTTGGTGAGGCTGTGTGTGTAGGTGGTGCAGGCTCTGTGTGTGTGGGCCGTGGTGGTGTGAGTGTCGATGACTGGTACCAGCGGTGTCAAGATCGGCCTCAGTGGAGGAGGCTCGTGAAGGACGCTACTGGGCAGTTGGAGGCAGTCGCCCTCCAACAGCAACGGAGGGCGGAGGAGCGACGCTCACAAAAGCGAGCGGAGCGCCGGGTACAGCTGGTGGTGCATCTGCCAGACATCTCAGTCAGCCAACCCATGGCACCTGGGTCTGTCCTGTGACGTCCTGTCAGCGAGCCTCCGACACTTCACATGGCCTCAAAGGGCACCTGGCCTGGCATAGGTGTCGTGGTTACATCACCGTCACTTAGTGGCGAATGGCTGGTATTGGTGTATTTAACTTCAATCACACTCAGCATAGCCAACCGTGCGAATCGGAGATGCGGGGGGGGGGAAGGACAACAACAAAAAACAGTTCTCAATGTAGTATAGTGGTGAAGTGTAGTATATAGTAATGTAGTGTGTAGTGCAAAGTGAACTTCTATCACACTGTATATAACCCACCGTGCGAATCAGAGGTGCGGGGGAAGGAGACATGCATGTACATCATCGTTTTTTCTACCTAATCGGTACCGAGGCTCCCGACGAGGCTATGAGGGAGGGTTGTGGTGTGGCACAGTTTTTGGCGCCAGCTATCGTAGAGTTGTGGCTGTGGTCACGTTGCTACGGTTCTCAGCGGTGAGTAAACAACAACGTCTTCATAAACACACAAGGGTGCTACTGCCACTACTTTGCCTACAATTAACGCTGAACCGCTTGCGACGTTCCGAGATTTGGCGGTGAACCGGACACCACCGCTAACCCTGCGACCTGCCAGATGTCTCAGAACGGGAAAGGGGTTAACCGACCACCACCGCCACCACCCAACACAGCTAATTAGAAAGGGTTTGTCACGTAAACAAAATATGCCAAATAGTTCAGCACTAACCGGTTGTGTGTTGGAGAGTAAGCCCACAACAATCATAATTCGGGTACCCTGACATTTTTGCTGGTGATTACTACAACAAACAAGCTTCATCAGGCGATTTGCCAGAATTGTGAAGAAGTCTTCCTGTTACCTGCCTCAAATAGAGCAATGGCGATGTCATCACTGTGAGACTATCGGGTGCAAAGATCAGAGGGGGGCTTAATGTAATCATACACGTTAGAATGGATTGTGTTAACCTGGAAACATGCGGTACATATTACCGGTTGGTTTCGTCACGGTTGTATTTCGAAAATTGGGCACGTACACGTACGTCATCAGAATGGTAAAGGGTTAAACTATATATATAAAAAATAAAAACTAGGTTTTATTTTACGAGGTCAGACCCACTGAGCTGTGTAGCTCTTTTGTCAGTCACGACCTGGCTATCACACATGATAGCTCAGCGAAGTGGCTGATATCACCATTGTGTGTATAGCAACAGCCAAATACTTTAATCACACGTTTATAAATGTGGAGGGAAAAAATCGGGGGACCTAGATAAAAATCCACGCCACCACGGGGAGAGAGAGAGACGTAAACTCCAAATATACAGCAGGCGTCAGGATCCGGCATAGAACCCATGGTTAACATCTCCTAGCCTACGTGATACGATACAACAGGCGTCAGGGTCAGGATCAAACCCACAACATCCAGCGTACCAGGTGAGGTAGTTAACATGTCATCAGGGTTGTGATCCGACCCACGACCTCCTGCATACCTGGCGAGGGAAGTTAACATCGAATCAGGGTTGTGATCGAACCCATGCCCTCCTGTGTACCCGGCGAGGGTAGATTAACATCTCATCAGGGTCGTGATCCAACACATGACTTCCTGTGTACCCGGCAAGGGTAGTTAACATCTCATCAGGGTCGTGATCCAACACGACTTCCTGTGTACCCGGCAAGGGTAGTTAACATCTCATCAGGGTCGTGATCCAACACGACTTCCTGTGTACCCGGCAAGGGTAGTTAACATCTCCCCTCAGCCGCCGTGTCCCCTACCATCTCTGTCGTCCTCCAGCACCACGTCGATCTCCGCCACGCCTGACGAGGCGTCCCGGTCTCCTCCCCGCGGGCTCACGGAGCGACCGTCACCACCATCACCACCGTCGCCACGGTCACTACGGTCACCACCGTCGCCACCACTGTTGATCAGCTTCTGGAGATCCACCTCCACCACTCTGAGGTGCCTCCTCCGCTCGACCCACGGCTTCTCTCGCTTGACGCGACACTCTCTGGCATCGGCGCAAGGGCCCTCTTCCGTGACGTTCCGGTTGTTCTCTCTTCCGTCCTCACCGACGTAGTCCTCCTCCTCGTCCTCCTCCACCTCCTCTTTGATGCGAACGTTGACACCTTCAACTCAAAGAGGGTGAAAACATTTGGCAACGTCAATCCGAACGGAGGGAGGCGTAGCTGACGAGCGCACCTCGTCACGGCTGTGCCCTGTGACGATTTCGACTCGGAGGCCGGAACACCCGTGACGTTGATTCTGAACGTGGAAGGGGGCGGGGGGGAAATAAAACACACACACCGGAGGAACCCGGAGAAAAAAAATCCAAGCAACCACCACGGGGATAGAGAGAGAGAGACGCAAACTCCAAATATACAGCAGCAAGCATCGTCAGGGTCGAGATCAAACCCACGATCTGCTGTATACCAGGCGAGGTAGTTAACATCTCACCATGAGGAGAGAGAGGCACGCAAACTCCAAAAATACAGCGGCAGGCATTGTCAGGGTTGGGATAGTGGTATAGTGTATAGTGCAGTGTATAGCAGTGTAGTAGTGTCGTGTATAGCAGTGTAATGTATATTGCAGTATGTAGTGTATATTATACTCATATAAGCGCGCAACTTTATCCGTGAGGAATGCTGCACTTTCCATCGTTTTCATGCAGGGGGCGCTGCAAACCTACGTGCCCCCTGCATGAACGACGGAGGCGTAGGGACAGACGTTCAATTACGTTGGAATCGATCTGCAGACGGCGGTCTTCTCGCACGGCCAGCAGCTCCATGTCGCCTTATCTCGATCCCGCAATCCCAAACAGGTGAAAGTCCGCATCGAACCGAACCCCCAGCAAGGCCATCTACTTAACGACGAGAGAAAATTAACACGAAATGTACTTTTCAATTAAGTCTTCCAGATGTAAAATGATATAAGCTTTTAATGAAGAAACAAAATGATCTAATTCAAACCATAATACAATTCAAAGATGTTTCATTTTAAAACTTAAAAACGGAGCATCGGGTGCTTGCGTGAATGCGTCGTTCGTGTGCAATTTTTTTCGTACTTTCCTGGCCGAAGGCCGTAAATGGTTGTGATGGGGCGCCATAGGCGCCCCCGAACAACCCCTAGTAGTGTATAGTAGTGTAGTGTATAGTGCAGTCATGTAGTGTATAGTAGTGTAGCAGTGTAGTGTATAGTAGTGCAGTGTATAGTCGTGTATAGGGTAGTAGTTTCGTGTTTAGTAGTGTCGTGTGTAGTAGTGTATAGGGTAGTAGTGTAGTGTATCATAGTGTAGTTTTAGTAGTGTGTAGTGTATAGTTGGCATAGTAGGGGGTACAGGCGGTGCATCGGTCAGTCATCTCAGTCAGTCGAGCCATGGCACCTGAGTCTGCCCCGTGACCTCCTGCCGGCGGGCGTTCGACACTTCACGTGGCCTTAACGTGCACATAGCCTGGCACAAGCGCCGTGGTGACGTCACTGTCACTTAGTGGCGAATGGCGGATGTTGTTGTTGTAGTGTATTGTAGTTTGCTGTCCTTCCCCCACACCTCCGATTAGCACGGATGGCTACGTACGGTGTGAAATAATTTGAACATACACACATACAGACACACACACACACGCTGAAATTTCACAAAGCACATCACGCGTCAACAGAAAGCTCTAGGCCAACGGCAGCCTCTGCCGGGGGTGGAGAACTCACCGCCATCGCGGTCTTCTCTCTCCACCTTCACCGGCAGCCACATTTCACTCCTGGGCATCTCTTCATCTTCTCGCTTGATGACGAACGACTCCACGGGTAGAGACGGGGCCACCTTCTCCTCCACCGCCTCCCCCTCATCGCCTGTCCCAAGGAAGATGCAGCAGAAGGAGGGACTCAGGGGCGCTGCTGTGGCCAAGAGATGTTGACTACCTCGCCTGGTATACAGGAGGTCATGGGTTCAATCTGAACGCTGATACCTGTTGTTAAGTATCACAGTGGCTATGGAGATGTTAACAACCTCACCTGGCATGCAGGAGGTCGTTGATTAGATCCCGAACCTGATGTCGGTTGTATTGTATCACAGTGGCTAGGGAGATGTTAACTCCCTCGCCCAGTATGCAGTACGTGGGTTCGATCCTGACCCGACGCCTGTTGTGTTTGTCTCCGTGGACATGTGGATTTTCTCCAGGTCTTCCGGTTTGGAATGAAATGCAATTACAACTTATACACTAAACTTTACACTACTATACACTACACTATATACTATTATATAGTACTATATATATTACACTCATATAAACTACTATATACTAATAAATACTACACTACTATATACTACACTATACACTACACTACTATACACTACACTACTATACACTACACTAATACACACTGCACTACAACACACTACTAGACACTACACTACTATGCACTAGTGTATGGTAGTGTAGTGTATAGTAGTGTAGTGTATAGTAGTGTATAGTGTAGTATATAGTAGTGCATAGTGGTGTAGTGTCTAGTGTAGTGTATAATAGTGTAGTATATAGTAGTGTAGTGTATAGTTTAGTGTATAGTTGTGACCTTTCCAAGGATGTGGTGGAAGGGCTTGAGTGTTCCGATAATCCTGAGAGCGAATCCGTCGGGAGTTATGCTCCTGATAGGGCCACCCATGGCGTTAAAGTCGAGGGGCAGGTCCCAAACTAAATACAATCGAAGAATTCCCAGTACCCCCCCCCACCACCCTGGAACAGGTGGTGGTGCTCCATAGCTAGGAGAAGGCCACTCCAAATGAAAACCTCACAGCTGTGTGGTTCCCATAGCCGTCTTAGCTCGGTGGGCCACTGTGGCGTAACCCTGAGCCTATAGAGTGGGATCAATGTGCGTGAGCTGATCCGCACTTTAAACAAAGTCTAACGCAGGCGGGGAAAAAGGAAAGTCCTACAGCGATGGGCGAAAGGCGAAAACGGTAGGTGCAAGATGGCACTGGGAGCCGCAGCTTTGAACCTCCATGTAGGCGGCTCAGCCGTATTGGTCTTTTGACTGTTGACTCGAGGCAACAACAACACCCTGAGCGACCAAGCAGCCTTTTCTAGGGACAGCAACTGCTTTCTCCAGAAGGAGAGAGGCCTAGAAAAAGTGGCCTAAACAAAGCTTGCCTCAACTCACCCGGTTAGCTTACCGCAGCAAACGGGTATCACTTTACGCGGTCAGAAAGAAAGAAATCAAACTTCTCAAAATTTGCATGCTGGAACGTTCGCATAACGACGGACTCGGACGAAAACAACCGACCACGAAGACGATCCGCTCTCGTCGCGAGGGAGCTCGCCAATCTTGACATTGACATCGCAGCACTCAGCGAAGTTTGCTTCGCACAGCAGGGATACCTCACTTAACACGGGGCGGGCTACACCCCTGTTCTGGTCAGGGAAAGCCAAAGAGGAGAGACCCCTATCAAGCGTTGGCCTCATGATGAAGAACACCATCGCTGACAAGCTCCTGAGTTTTCCAATTGGCCATTCAGAACGCCTGATGTCCCTACGGCTACCCATCCATGCTAACCAATTTGCCACCATAATTAGTGCTTATGCACCAACTTTCCAGGCTGATGAAGACATTAAGGAATCATTTCATCATGACCTCGGAACTCTTCTGCGAGGGGATGACCGCAAAGTCAAGCTTCTTGTGATGGGAGACTTCAACGCAAGAGTCGGTCAGAACCGTGACCTCAGGACGGGAGGCTCTTGGTAAGAATGGAATTGGCAACTGCAACAACAATAGTCATATGCTACTAGAGCTCTGCGTAGAACACAACCTCTGCATAACAAACACGTTCAATCAAAAAGGCAGATATAAGATGACGTGAAGACACCCGCACTCCAAGCATGGGCATCTACTGGATTACATCCTTGTATACCAACAGGACGCAAGGGACATACTACACACCAGAGTCATGCCCAGCGCTGACTGTTATACAGACCACAGATTGATCAGAGCAAAAGTCACCACCCAAGAAGAAAGGTCTTCACCCCAAGAAGCTCCGTGTACAGAAGTTCCGCCTGTTAAGGGAGGAATTCCAGAAGAAGCTCAAGACCAGGCTCAGTGAACATCAAGACCCAGGCACGGATGCAAACCCTGAAGAGCGGTGTAAACATCTAAAATGGCTCTTCAGGGCACAGCTGCAGAGGTGGTTGTCTTCTCAATAGGGAAACACAAAGATTGGTTCGATGAGAATGATCCAGAAATTGAATTACTCCTCGAGACTAAATGTTCCTGTCATTCCAGACTACTTGTCTGTCCCAATGACCAAGCCACAAAAACTGCATACAGTGCTGCATGCAAAACCTTGCAACCAAAGCTGAGAGTCCTCAAAGACAACTGGTGGACAGACCTCGCAGAAAGGATACAGCTGTATGCAGACATAGGGGACACAAGAACATTCTATGAAGCCCGACGCTCAATGTATGGACCCTCACACCAGACACAGGCCCCCTTAAGATCATCAAATGGCACAACCCTTGTGAAAGACAAGGAAGCTATCATGCATCGATGGTCAGAACACTTTAGCAGTCTCTTTGAAGACAAGCGGACCAACAGGGGCAGAGATTGCATCTGCTTTCAAGAAACTTAAATCACACGAGGCACCTGGTATCTATGGGATCCCAGCTAAAGTGTACAAGGAAGGAGGAGATGCACTGCCGGACAGCCTCACCGACCTTTTCTCATATTGCTGGGAGAAGGGAGCAATACCCCCAAGATCTCCGGGATGCAGTGATTGTCTCCCTGTACACGGACAAGGGGGTGAAATTTGACTACTCCAATTACCGTGGAATCACCTTCTCTCTATCTCAGGCAAAATTCTGGCCAGGGACCTACTTGACAGATTGGTGCCCCCCAATTGCTGAAGAAGTCCTCCCTCAAAGCCATTGCCGCTTTAGGTCGGAAAGGGGAACAGCAGAACGAGCGCAGGGAACAGTACATGGGCCTCCATGCTCCATTCATTGACCTGAACAAGGCCTTTTGACACAGTGAGTAGTGATGGTCTCTGAAGAATACTGTCCAAACTGGGCTGCCCTCCCTAGCTCCGTACCATGGTGCAGCAACTCCACGTCGGAACAAGAAAGGACACGGGGTCAAACAAAATGGAAGCCTCTCAGACACCTTCCCCATCAACAATGCGGTGAAGCAAGGTTGCATGCTGGCACCTACACGCTTCACCATATTCAACAGCCTGGTGCTCCAGGAGGCAAAGAAGGGTCTGACGGAAGGCCCCTACATCCGATTCCGGACCGATGGCAGTATTTTCAATTTAGACTTAAAACTTTCGTGACTGCAGGAATTCATATTCTTGGTTTATTCGGTAAAGTCACGTAGATAGAAAACAAAAGTCTAAATTAAAAGCAAAAAAAAAACCCACGACGTTTTAATCGCAACACAAGCGGTCTTCTTCAGGTGGAGAGAAAAGAGGGGGGGGGGGGAGGCAAGGCTCCTGCTGCAGCTGCTTATAAAGGCTCCAGAGTGAGTGGGCGGGTGAAAGGGCTGCACGAGCAGTCCTTTCTCTGGAGTTGTGTATCACCATTCCTTTCAGCTCTTTTATCCCCACAACAACAACCAGTAGCATCATCAGGCAGACAGCCACAGAGTTGTGGAGAAATCCTCCTCCTGTTTCGGTCTTGAATAGAGCAGAGGGGATAAATGTGACGTCGTAACTTGTGAGCCGATCAGGTGAGAAGCCCAGTGGAGTGGGGGTTAATGTATACATAAAGTATGCAACATCACACGTGTGTGTCCATCCTACTACATGTGTGTGTGTCCATCCTACTACATGTGTGTCCATCCTACTACACACGTGTGTGCATGTCCATCCTACTAAACGTGTGTGTCCAAATTAGCGGCCAGTTTCCTTTCCATTACCGCTTGCATCACCAGGTCGTCTTCTATTTACGTGGAAACCCTTTCTCTCACCCCCCACGTTGAGTCATCCCTTTGGCTCCAGCTTAGATGCAGCAGCAGCAGCAGCAGAAGTGGCAGCAGCAACATCCTTCCACAGCGATACATTTGGAGTTGCTGATATCTCATCTCTGCCACGGGAGAGAGACAGAGCTGTGACGACAACGACGACGATCGTGCGACGCGTCAAACTCACGCCGGTCGACGCTGCCAACTCCGACGCACCACCCCCCCTCCCCCCCCAGCGAGAGTTCTGTGGCGAGAAGAAAGCAAAAGCAAGAGACACCGCTCACCGGTGGCAGCAGTAGCAGCAGCCCCGGCAGTAGCAGCGGCGGCGGCGATGTCTTCCCACCGCACGCTGGCTCTGCGCGGCATCTTGCGTGCCCGGGGATCTTCTCCGCGGCTTCTCGGCGAACTTCCGCGATCCAAAAAGGGGGCGCCTCGGCGGACGACCCCCGCCTGCCGACGCGAGGGGATGTGGTCACGACTTTGAACCTTCGACGGACGTGCCCCCCGGTGCGTTGGCTCGCCCGAGCTAGATCCGTCGGCTTCCCGGTTGGCCGTACGATTTTACATTGTAAGGTCGCGCGCTCATTACGTGCACACACACACACTCATTACACACACGCGCAGAGTGCTTGCCACGAATTAAATCGTTACAACTACCTCGCTGCTGATCTCGTAGTCCGGCTTATCGTCACCCGAAATTCATAGCGGCAGCCAAAATACTCCAAACGCGTGGTGACGTTGAGTCTAAATGTGGAGGGGAGTGAACCGAAGGAACCGGAGAAACATCCACGCGACCACGGGGAGAGAGAGAGAGACAAACACAATCCAAATATACAGCAAGGCGTCCGGGTTGGGATCAAACCCACGACCTCCTGTATTCGAGGCGATGTAGTTAACATCTCACCACGCGGAGAAAGACAGAGAGACACACAAACTCCAAATATACCGCAGGCATCGTGTCTGGGATCGAACCCACGCTCTCCTGTATACCAGGCAAGGTAGTAGACTCACGCACAGGGACAGCTGCCACTGGGGGTTCCCCTAGACTATAGACTACATAGCAGCAGCGATCATCGCTACCCCTACTAGCAGCAGGCTAACGCACAGGGACAGCTGCCACTGGGGGTGCCCCCTAGACTATAGACTACATATCAGCAGCGATCATCGCTACCCCTACTAGCAGCAGGCTAACGCACAGGGACAGCTGCCACTGGGGGTGCCCCCTAGACTATAGACTACATATCAGCAGCGATCATCGCTACCCCTACTAGCAGCAGGCTAACGCACAGGGACAGCTGCCACTGGGGGTGCCCCTAGGATAGGCCACACAGCAGCAGCGATCATAGCCACCAATACGCCTGGCAGCAGACTCATGCACAGGGACAGCTGCCACTGGGGGTGCCCCTAGATTCACATACAGCAGGCGTCAGGGTCGGGTTCGAACCCACGGCCTCCTGCATACCAGGCGAGGTAGTTAACATCTCCTTTATAAACTAAGTATATACACAAAACATTTATTATATTTACCATTGTCTTATTATTTACAGCATGCCGGACATCCCCCACAACAAATGAGCAGCCACAGGAGGAGCAGCAGCAGGAGGAGGAGCAGCAGCAGGAGGAGCAGCAGGAGGAGCAGGAGGAGGAGCAGCAGTAGGGGCAGGAGGAGCAGCAGCAGGAGGAAGAGCAGCAGGAGGAGGAGGAGCAGCAGGAGGAGGAGGAGCAGCAGCAGGAGGAGCAGCAGGAGGAGGAGCAGCAGCAGGAGTAGCAGCAGGAGGAGCAGCAGCAGCAGCAGTCCGAGTGTCCCCGACCTCGTGAGCTGCACAGCGAGAAGCCCCAACCTGGAGGAGCAGGAGGAGGAGCGAGCGGGCGGAGCGATGGCGGTGGAGGGGTGGGGGCCCGGAACGTCGGAACGTGGCGGCGGCTGTGATACCCGGCGATAAACACGACGACGAGACGACGTACATCCAGCACAAGACGTAGCACTTACAACGACTTTTTGTACGCGTGGAGTTGAGTTTTGGTGATGAGTGCCTAAGGGGGCGTCCATAAATGACGTCATGCGATTTCGGCGATTTTTAACCCCCCCCCCCCGTCGTCACACGACGTCACAAAAAGTGAGACCCCCCCTCAAATATGACGTCACAAAGCTCTGCCCCTCCTCCCCCCCCCAAATAAAACATGCTTCAAATCGCTTTAAACTATTGTCACATTGTAGTGCGTATTTAATGCGGCGCTGCACTCTGATGTAGGAGAAATATTTATTAACAAGTCTAATAAATTAAGTAGAACGTGTTGTCTATATTTAAAGTTGCGCATTTTTATGTGACGTCACCTTTCTCAAACCCCCCCCCCGTCACAGATCGTCATCAAATGTCTGACCCCCCCCCCCCCCCCAGGTGCGTGACGTCATTTATGGACGGCCCCTAACGCTTGACACTTTGTAACGCTCTGTCATTACAATACACTATACACTACTATACACTACACTATACACTACTATACACTACTATACACTACACTATACACTACACTATACACTACTATACACTACACTATACACTATTATACACTACACTATACACTACACTATACACTACACTATACACTACACTATACACTACTATACACTACACTATACACTACTATACACTACACTATAAACTACTATACACTACACTATACACTACTATACACTACACTATACTACTATACACTACACTATACACTACTATACACTACACTATACACTATTATACACTACACTATTATACGCTACACTATACACTATTATACACTACACTATACACTACTATACACTACACTATTATACACTACACTATACACTATTATACACTACACTATACACTACTATATACTACACTATACACTACTATACACTACACTATAAACTACTATACACTACACTATTATACACTACACTATACACTACTATACACTACACTATACACTATTATACACTACACTACTATACACTATACTACTATACACTACACTATACACTACTATACACTACACTATTATACACTATACACTACACTATACACTATTATACACTACACTATACACTACTATACACTACACTACTATACACTACACTACTATACACCACACTACTATACACTACACTACTATACACTACACTACTATACACTACACTACCCTACTATACACTAAACTACTATACACTACACTACCCTACTATACACTACTATACACCACACTACTATACACTGCACTATACACTACACTATATACTACACTATACACTACACTACTATACACTACACTATACACTACACTATACACTACACTGCTATACACTACACTATACACTACACTACTATACACTACTATACACTACTATACACTACACTATACACTACACTACTATACACTTCTACTATACACTACACTACTATACACTAAACTACTATACACTAAACTATACACTACCCTACTATACACTACACTACTATACACTACACTACTATACACCACACTACTATACACTACACTACTAAACACTACACTATACACTACTACACACTACATTACTTTCGAAACACTCCACTACTTTCCACGACACTATTACACCTTACCTATAAAAGGCATTTTTACTGGTAGGAACCTCCTGGTTGCACCTCCAGCCCACAGGGGATTATTGTGTCCGTCCGTCCGTCGTGCATCCAAAAATGGGAAGGGTGGGGCTGGGTGGGGAGGGTGGGGAGGGGAGGGTGGGGAGAGGCTGGGTGGGGAGGGTGGGGCTGGGTGGGGTGGGGCTTGGTGGGGAGGGGCTGGTCACCCCGTGGTGCCCTTATAAAACTCAACGTTTCACCTACTCACGCCGGCTTGTGCCCGCCCTCACAGTCGGGCATATTTGCGGAATACACCACGTGGTGCCGCCGTTGACCCTGGCCATTGACCGTGCAACCCAACGTTCCTACCAGCTCCCTCCGCAGGAATGTGTTTGTCTGTCTGTCCGTCTATCTGTCTGTCTGCGTTCGCGTGCTTTCACGGGATTTGGCTCTCAAACGGTGGGGTTTACGTGAAAACATTTTTTGCCAGCTACCAGGCCGTAAGCCCCGCGCTGGGCAAGTGCTATTCCTTTTTTCACGTCCGTCAACTTTAAATTTGTTAAATTAGCGAACTTTATTTCTTTATTTAACTTTTATAATTCGACTTCCTTCATTTAATTAATTTAATACGCCACTCGGGGCGGAACAAGGCACGCAGCTGCGCTTGCGCGAAACACTGGCAGGGTTAGCCCCTGCCAGCCCATACACGCGCCATCGCCGGAGGTGTGCGGGGTTTTTTAATCGCCTGCAACACTCTACAAGATAAGTCGCGCAGATTCTGTTTAGAGGCATTTATAAAGTAACACTTTGCTCAGCTGGCAGGGGTTGCCCCTAGCAAGGTACACACGATCGGCAAATAATTTCATTCGCGTAAAAATTGCAACCAAAGTACACAAAACACTGAGGTTAATTCTTGAGAGTGTGATGTCCTCTCCTCCCCCAGTCCAATACGTCCAGTTACTACCATAGAGTCCATAGATATTCATATTACAGCGCTTAGTATTATTGTAGCACGGGTGGGGGGAGGGTGGGGGGGGGGGTAGCGGCCCAGCCCCCAGCCTGCCAAGGTGCCACCTCGGCCGGCTGGACAATCTAGGCGAGGCCGGGGGCTCTGCACGGGGCTAGGCCTGACCACACACTCTGTCAGGTGAGTACTTTGTGCTATACGGTCCACATATACTGCTATAGAGTTAGCATGTACTACTGTAATGATAGCAGATACCACCACAGTCAGTATGCACTGCTGTAATCATAGCAGGTACCACCACATTATGCACTGCTGTAATCAAGGCAGGTGCCACCAAAGTATGCACTGCTGTCATCATAGCAGTGACCACCACAGTCACTGTGCACTGCTGTAGTGAAAGCAGATACCACCACAGTCAGTATGCACTGCTGTTATCATCACAGGTGCTACCACCACAGTCAGTATGCACTGCTGTAGTCATAGCATTATACCACCCCAGTCAGTAGGCACTGCTGTAGTCATAACATTATACCACCACAGTCACTATCCACTGCTGTAGTCATACCATTATACCACCACAGTCAGTATGCACTGCTGTAATCATAGCAGGGCCTGACCTGGTAAAATTTAAAATAGTTGAGTTTATCTTCTTGGTTCTTTCGGTAAAGTCACGTTGAATGGAAACAAAATAATAAAAATAAAACATAAAATAAAATTCTCACGACGTTTTGGCCACAACACAAGTAGCCTTCCTCAGGTGAAGAAACAGAACTGTCGAGAAGACAGCGCTTTAGTGAACACTGCCAAGTTTGGCAGCGTCTTTTAAGCTGAGCGCCTTGACGAAGGAGTTTACATATCAACAGAAGGATTTAGCACTGAAATAGCTGTGTTAATGTGTTGGATTAGCAGGATGTTAAAGTCATAAATTAGCATGTAACTGGGAGATTAGCACCACGGAAAGCGACGAGCTTTGTTCAGACGGATGAGTCCATCTATGTTCGGAACGGAGGAGGGGGGAGAGAATTTAGCATTGAAATAGCTATGTTAATGTGTTGGATTAGCAGGATGTTAAAGTCAGAATGTTAGTGAGGGATTAGCATGTCGGTTTCTTTTTTCTTTTCAACATTAGCACCACGGAAAGCGACGAGGTTTGTTCAGATGGACGAGTCCGTCTATGTTCGGAACGGAGGAGGGGGGAGAGGGAGAAACAGCCACGATGCGCTGCTCTGTCCTGTGTTGCGTTACAACTATGCTATAAACTAGACTACTATACATTACAATATTACACCTTCCAATCTAAACTACATTGTATAATATCGTATACACAGCCCAATGCAAGCTCTAACATTATGCATTATATTGATATGCCTCCAACTAAACTTTTTTCTAAATTACACGACTATACACCGTAATATACACTGCCATAGACAAACCCCGCCCTTGAATATACAATGCGTTATTATACACTGCCCTATAATTTAGACTATAAAATATTATACTTGTAATATTACACTATGTATTATTAATTTAGATTTTAGTTTTCTATCTACGTGACTTTACCGAATAAACCAAGAAGATGAGTCCCTTCAGTCACGAAAGCTTTAAATCGAAATAGTTGAGCTTAGTCTACGAGTCTCTATACATCTCTATGGGTCTTTGTATTTCTATAGGTTTATGTGCGTTTAGAGTATGTTGCTGCTCTACATTTCCATGTGATAATGATAAGCCCACTTCGTTGAGCTGCTGTCATTTGTGATGGCCAGGGGTGACTTCTGAAAAAAACTAGGTATACATCTCAGTGGGGCCTTACACCTGATAAAAGAAAAATATATAATTTAGTTTTGGTAAAATTTACCGTGTTGTTTTGTTTGCAGTGACGAAAACGATTTTTTTTAACCCATGACCGTCTAAGCCAGTGGTTCTTCTTAACCCGGGGTGCACGTACCCCTGTGCATGATGCCCTTCCTGGGGGGTGTGTGAGCCATGGGCAGATTTTTTTCGAAGGTATTTCCTCGAAACACAAATGAAGCACGGGCATGCAAGTTACAACTTATCTTGTTTCGTTAAACACACCGCCATCTATTGCGCGGTGGTTGAACTTACAACTCTCGATCCGAACAGCTGCAACTGGACATACGGAGAACAGGTTTGTGCGTATCTCTGAAAGTTCGTAAGTCGAATTTTGTAAGTAGAGGAGTTCCTGTACAGTAGTAGTACCTCGCTTAATGAAATTTGGTTTACCTGTATACTTGTGTAGTGGATACAAATGGAGAGCGAGGTGTCTCTAGAGGCAACACGTTTATTACAAGATACCCGAACACAAAGGGGTAGCTGCCCCTTCCACCAGGTAACCTAGGGAGGTAATCCCTCCGGGCTAAATAGCGCTAACACAACTGGGGAAAGCTGTCAAGCCTGGACCCCGACTCGAGTCCAGGTCTTGTCTTTGGGCTTCTTCTTTAGGAGGACGTCTTCATGTCTTCAGGTGGGCAACAA